ATAAGATATGACTGATTTTGACATTTTCAACCTTTTCTCAACCATTTTCGAAAATTAGTTTGCCATTTTCTTGTAGATTTGCACATCCAGATGTCATTTTCGGCTTCGTTTCTTCCAACATTTCTACCGTTCTTCCAAAATCGTCAACTGAAATATAGCATTTTTTATAGTTCCAGTAGCAAATAGTAAAACAAGAAATTTAGGATTAGCGTTTTTTTTTACTTTTTGCACATCCTAGATTTTATTAGTTTCCACTCCCACTCCATAGAAGAACATAATTAGCCCCGCCCACCCACCCTGCGTTCATTTCAGTGATTAATTTTATCTGGTGTGAATGTAATGAATGATCTTATTCTGAGCAGAAATAAAATTAGTCTTTAAAATGACAAAACTGGAGGTGGGTGGGGCTAGTACTTAATAAGATAAGACTGTTTTTGGCAGATGGCATATCTTCGAAGAAAATAAGGGCGGGTGGGCGGGGCTAGCATTTTATAAGAAATGACTGATTTTGACATTTTCAACCTTTTTTCGACAATTTTCGAAAATTAACTTGCCATTTTCTTGTTGATTTACACATCCAGATATCATTTTCGCCTTCGTTTCTTCGGACATTTCTCTCGTTCTTCCAAAATCGTCAACTGAAATATAGCATTTTTTATAGTTCCAGTGGCAAATAGTAAAATAAAAAATTTAGGGTTAGAGCTTTTTTTACTCTTTGCACATCCTAGATTCTATTAGTTTCCACTCGTACTCCACTGAATATTTGAAAGCTACATGAAATTTTCCAGAATTAGAGTTTACAATAAACGCACAGGTGACGCAGCTAACACAAAAGAAAACCCCCCCGTTCCCCAGACCATGATATTATTAATTTTTCTGAAGCCGTTCTCGGCGTTATTTTGTTAAAGATTCACTTGCTCAGATTACGTTTGAATTTACTTTACTCACACGTGCTGAAATTATGCAACGCAAAATAATAACTCGAAAATTGCCATCCAAAACTTTCCGCATCACATTGACTAAATAAAACTGCCCTAGCTAACGTAATTCCCTGAAAAGCCCTACTAGAACGAATTGAAATTATATTGAAAAGGTTAGTACGAAAATTAACGACCACGGCGTCAACCGTAACTGTCGCCATTTTGTAGCGTCAGGCCGCGTATGCGCAACACACACGCGAAGCTCACATATGTGGGATCCCCGCGTGTCACGTACTCCGTAACAACCGAGAAGCAGACAAGGAATCACGTGGAAAACATACCTCTCGGATCTTCAAACCAAACACGTGCTCAGCACCGAAATAACCTCTCTGTGTAGAACTCCGTTAGAAGGAATCGCCACTGACGTCTTACTCGAAAGAAAGACCAAGTCAAACTGGCCGCCACTCACCCCTCTCAAACACGACCCTTCTGCGCATCTCCCTCTTAGTGGTTTTCGTTTCTTTGCATTTCTACCCCTTTTCTTACCAGACGTTTGGCGCGCGGAAATTTCGTTCGAAACGGCGTCCTACAATATTAAAAAAAAGTAATGCCAAAGATTAGGCCCCACCCAAATAGTAATAAAATAGATTTCATTTATTGTCAGCCCTAGGGTCGGAGCCTAATTGCAAAATCCATGTTCTTACAAAAATTTACCATTTTAAACGTGTTTTAAGTTCCTAATAATAAAAAAATCATCACAATTCAGATGGGGGTGGGTGGACGGGGTTTATATTTTGCTTTTTTTCTTTATGTAACAACACGATACTCAAAAACATGTTTTTAATTTCTTGTAAAGAAATAAACGTTTTGCAGTTAAGCTGATTTATAGACAATTCTTCACACATTTCGAGTTTGATTTTTTTGCAGTTTCTCCTTCATTTATATATTATGAATCTAAAATATTTTTGAGCTCTAAAATTTCCCCCAAAAAGTTGAACCCTTCCAAATGGCTTTATTTGAGAGGAAAAGAGCGCCAACCAATAGATAATTCTTCATATATTTCGAGATTGAAACCCTTTTGGTGATATCTCTTTTCAATTAAACAATTATTCGAGACGAATCTTTCCAAAAATTACAAAAAAAAAATTAAAAAACGTTGAGTTTCTAGTTTTTTAGAGTACTATATTTATCTTATGAAATACTAGCCCCGCCCACCCACCCTTTTTTTCTTAAAAAGCATGTCATTTGCCAAAACCAGTCTTACCTTAGCAAGTACTAACCCCGCCCACCCACCCTCTCTTTTCTTAGGAGGTATGTCATTTGCCAGAATCAGTCTTATCTTAGCAAGTAGTAACCCCGCCCACCCTCCCTCTATTTTCTTATAGTGTATGTCATTTGCCAAAATCATGGTTATTTTAAGTATGTACTATCAATCTATTTTTGAATACGTAAACGAGAATATGGAGAGAGTATAGACAATTCTTCACACATTTCGAGTTTGAAATTTTTTTACCATTTTCCAAAAAACAATTTTTAGATCTCAAACTTCTTAGCTTTTAGAGTGTTGATCGCATATTAGGAATCCGAAGTCCATTTTGCAAGATCTTTTTAAATAAGCGAGAAAAGTGAGAAACATTGTTCAAAAATGTTTTGTTTGAAACATTTAAAAGAGGATCTGATCAAACGAAAAGTAGTTGGCTTATGGACAATTTTTCGCAGATTACGAATTCAAAATATTTTTGACGATTTGTCTCCAAATAACTGAGAAATGCTAGGAAAATGTTCCAAAAATCTCAAAAATTTTCCAAAAAAAAATGGAAACCGTTCCAAATGGCTTTGTTTGAGAGGAAAAGAGAGCTAACCACTAAAGAATTCTTCATATACATATTTCGAGATTGAAATCCTTTTGCGATAAATCTTTTGAATTAAGCGATCTTTCGGGACGAGTATTAGCCGCGGATTTATCTTATGAAATACTAGCAGGTGTGGCATTTGCCAAAATCAGTATTACCTTAGTTAGTACTTGCTAAGATACCAGTGGCATACCATCCAGGGTAAAAATCATTCGTATCTTGGCAAGTACTAGCCCCGCCCACCCGCCCTTTCTTTCCTTGGAAGGTATGTCATTTGCCAAAATCAGTCTTATCTTAGCAAGTACTAGCCCCAACCACCCACCCTCTTCTCATTCTAACGACTTATTTTATTTCTGTTCAGTATAAGATCATTTATTTCATTCAAATCGGATAAAAGCAATCACTGAAAAGGAGACAGGGTGGGTGGGCGGGGCTAGTATCAGCTAAAATAAAATTGATTTTGGTGAATGAAATACCCTCTAAGAAAATAAAGGATGGGTGGGAGGGACTAGTAAAAATTATTCGAGTACTAGCCCCGCCCATCCGCTCTCTCTTTCCTTGGAACGTATGTCATTTGCTAAAATCAGTTTTATCTTAGCAAGTACTAGCCACCGCCCCACCCACCCCCGCTCTTCCCATTCTAACGACTAATTTTATTTTTATTATACTTTGCTTTTTTTTTCTTAGTGTACATAGTATTCTTTGAACAACACGATACCCAAAAATATGTTTTTAATTTCTTGTAAAGTAATGGGTATTTTGCAGTTAAGCTCCGCCCTCTTGGTTCACGGCGAATAAAAAAAATCATTACAATTGAGATAGGGCGGGCGGGCGGGCTTATGTTTTGCCTTTTTGTTTTAATATGTGTAGACTTTTTTTCACTATATGAAACTTAAAACATGTTTAAAATGGAAATTTTCTATACGGAAATATCAATGGGGCTCCGGCCCCATAATTGATTCCCATGTGAAATATGTTCGTAAGTAACTGTGTTATACAAAGAAAACTAAATGTATTAATTAAAAAAGAAAAACAAGAAAAGTCCCACCCATCCATCTCGATCTAAATCGTGATGAATTTTTTATTCGCTGTCAGACCGAGGGGCGGAACGTAATTACAAAATCGATGTTTTCCTATAAAAAAATTACCATTTTAAACATGTTATTGTGAAAAGATGACTACACATATTAAGAAAAACAGTTTCACATTTCTCGATACTTTTCCGAATACTTCACATATAGGTATACAAAGGGCACCGAAACTCCAAGTAAACGCTCAATTTCAGCCTAGAAATCAATCTTCTAGCTCACAGCTGCGGTTTTTACCGCATTTTATAAAATATTAAAACTGTCTGTAGTCAAATATTCAAGTCCAGATTTATGTTCTTACGGTTTTACTTTGGTAAACGCTGCTAAAAAATTTTCTATAACATGTTTCTTCTTGTCCATAATTATGATGTCTTTGTCATTGAACGTTAGCGATTACAATGGCAATGTTTTGATGGTTTTACTGTTCTTGGGACAATAGTCTTTCCTACTGAAGGGCCAGAACCGGTTGAACCAAGAACTGGTCTGACACCCTGGTATCGACCCGACAGAGATTTTACCATCTTGAAGTTTGGTCCGGTAAAAACGAGCCTTATTCACACCTGTCCTGTATATATTTAGAGGACGTTTCTCCTCTTCACTGGGGCGCACCTTGTCGAACTGAGGATTTCCCCATCCAGGTCTAATCAGTCCAGAGGACTGACGGAACCCTTCTCAGCACGGTAAAAAGTGTCGTTTATACAAAAATGACGTCTTGATGGTCTAGTTGCGCTTTTTCAACATAGATGTCGCCTCAAGAATTGGCACAGAAACACTCAAAAACCCTTACAATCTCGCTAGAACGAGTTTTCTTCTGTAATTTCTTTAGGCTTTAAAATTTCCTTTCGGGTTTTCTAGCGTTTGAAGTGCATTTTTGGGTTGTTACGTCCAATACGAAAATAAAGTCCACTATATTTAGACGGAAAATATGCAAAACTTGGTTTCCCAGACACAAATAACGCATAGACTGGCTGAATGTCCCTGACCAGCTATTAATTTTTTACTTTGATGATACAATCAGCGAATAACAAAGAACATATTTCTCTGATACTGTAAAATAGTGGAAACTTTGCATACGCCTAACCTTGGCGCCTCGCAATTTAAATAATCACCAAACGTAAAAGAAACAACTTTAAAATGTGTAACAAATATGTATTTCATTGGAATGTTACAAACGAATTTAGCTCATCTAATCATACAAATACACAAACAATATTAATCTAAAACGTTGGCATATTTAAATCTTAACATAAACACATCATGTGCATCATACGAACCAAAAACATAACTGACTAGAATTAAACAAATCACAAATTCATAATTCAGATGCATGAAAATTATCTTCTGGTAACTAGCAAAGATCTAACACATGTTAAAATTCGTCAATAAATAGATAAATAAAACAGAATTTGACCACTAATAAAAAATGACTAAAGGAAACCCAACGAACTTAGTCTCTACATACGAACTTTACTGAACTTATTAACAAATAAATATTATATACATAGAAAAATGTACAAATTATTTGGTAAGTAAAATAGTTGCATGAATACACCAGCTTATCGCTAACAGCAAACTCAAATACTGGCTCTAACGCGCAAAGGAACCAACAAATCCTTAAGTAACGCCCGACAGGACTCGCTTATTCGATCCCGAAAGTGTTCGTCTCCTCCACCGCCAACAGCAACTTTTCGTACAAAACCTCCGACGTCGGATACGGCGGCAGATCCAGCCGATTGAAACAAGTGTGAGCCCGTGGAAGACTGTTCGGCTTGCCCCACTTCTCGATGCAGAACTTGCGCGGCCCGATGGAGCCCCGCAGCGCCGAGAAGCCCTCGAACGGGATACTCGAAGTGCCCGTCACGAACTGCAAAAGGCGCAAGCGCTGCTCGTTCGTAAACCTGAAAAAACAACAGTCAGAAATGGAGGTCCAACTTTTACAAACACTAGAAGTCACGAAGAAATTAGCCGCTTACCGTTCAATCGCTTGCCAGAACCACACTACTACGGGGTGTTGGTCGTGGTACCCCCCGCGGTACTCCGTATTGTGCCTCCAATCCCCCAAGTCGATTTCCGCAGTGCCCGCGATCACTAATTCTAATTCTCTAGCGTCAAAAACGCTAACCAGTCTTGGATCAACGACTTCATAGAAGCCTCTAACGAGAGATTCGGTTTGTTCGGAAACGCCGCGTTCCAACCTCCACCTGACTATCCTCTCTAAATATTCCTACAAACGAAAAAATATTTATAAAAAAATAACAATCCAACAACACGAAACTCACTTTTTTATTTTTTTCCGTAACGGGGACGTTTCGACCCCCTGGTTTAAGTTCACGCTCGAGCACCTGACCGAAGACTTCTTCAGTCACGGCGAACGTCAGTTCCAGTTCGCCTTGCATGGACACGTCGTGTTCTCTGATCCACTGGAGGGATTGGTGGAACTCGAAATCCAAACTTTCGAGGTCTGAAAGGGCTACGGGAAGGCGAAGTAAGGCCTTGTAGAAAGGACGCGTGAAAAAGGCGTCTAGAAGGTACTGGTGGACGAGGGCTAGCCCCAAAACCCTACCGCTAAACCTAAACCTGAAACGAAAATACGACCCAAATAAAAAGGTGCTTCACCTGGAGATAATTTAGGTTAAGGATACATTTTATCGTTTGTTTAGCCACATTCCGCCACAAAACTCGCACTATTTATTTATCACTCGTTATTCTTTCAAACAAAGTCAAGACTCGATGATCCACATTCACGCGTTATCCCACTTACCAGTCGTGATAATTATCCACAAAGGCCGACATCGGCGAGATCTGCACAGTGTAAGTATCATTGGCTGAATATTCGAAAAGTCCATAGTAGGGGTTGAACAACTCCCTCGACAACAAAAAGAAGAACTCCCTCGACGGCCCCCCGTAGTCCAGACCTTCCTCGTTGTCCCACACCACGCACAACTTCCCCTTTTGCAGCTCCTTCTTGTTCGCGGACATGATCCTCCTGAAGGCGTCCTCCAGGAGGTGTTCCCGCCTTATGTGCAACTTGAACTTGCCAGGACCTTGTCCATATCCTTTGCTTTCTAGCTTCCGGTAGAAGTTACGCAGTTTGGCTTCGAAATCTCGTTTGTGCGGGGCGGGGACGCGGTGTCTGCTCAAACCGGGGGAGGCGATGGGGGACGGCTGTGGGGAGCCTCTGGGGCTCCGGGTTGTGCTGGAGGAACGACTGTCCACTGCCGGGACATATGACATAATCTCCTGTTCGAAGAGGCTGTGGGCGAAAAAGAAACAACTTAGAAAAATTAGTCCAGGAATTGCGTTGGGTTAATCGCGACCTTGGAAATTTCTAAGTGAAATGAAAGCGCGATGAGCGATGCGTTTGCTGTAATGGATGTACTGTTATTTATTTACATGTGAAGGTAATCTTTCATGCGTTAAATACAATTAAGAGATACTCATATGTGAATTAAACAATAAGAAAGAAAGTGAAAAAGGGAAACCGCGGATTTACTCATAACTATATTTATTTCATTGGTAACATCTATGCTTTTAATTATTTTGTCATCATTAGATTTTAGTGGTCATTCTTCAATTCCTCCCACGTCCCTTTATAATGCGACAGTTTGTTGTTATCAGCTGTTAAATGTCAATGTCATTTCTAAAAATGTAAACACAACAAAAACACAATTAACCATTCAGTGATAATTTTAGCACCAACAATAATAAAGACAAGAAATAAATTATATAACTTCATTCATTTTCAACATACAGCACGTTGTCCCTCTAATTCGGTACATCTGCACGTGCACAATACTCCAGTTAAAAATAAAAACAATAAAAAAACCCTCATCCGCTCCACATGCAGCCAAATATGACCCAATTTTGCCAATTCTGCCCCCACTCGCGCATTCCTCCCCACCCACCCACCAGCACCGATTCGTTCCACTGTCAAAATCAAGGCCACCTCCAACTATATAATTTTGCGCGATGATTAAGATCGAGGGTGTGTTCTCGGGGTGCAAATAAAACAATAAACTTTCCATAAACGAATAAAAAAATATGACCTACGGTAACACAACACGCGAATAGCGCCCAATTAGCCTTACCACATAATTGAGCGTTCCACGTTCTCTTAATTAAATGTTTTCATACGAATTAGATACTTTCGAAATGATGATACCATTTTAATTATAGCTTTTGGGTTAAGACAAGAGTGCGTTGGTCAAGGCCGTAAAGGCGCTTTTTCGAGACGACGGCACAGACCACACGCCACAAAACAAAACAAAATCGCGTGTGAGCTATCGTAAATAGAACATGACAACACATGTGTATGTATCCGAAGACAAAAGTTTCCTTTTCTACTCTCGCCGGAGCTTGGAGCTTTATCGCACCGGTACACGTGTCACGTGCATATTACTAATTGGAAATCTGCGCTCTCTGTCACTCTCACGTGCACCATGTGTCATGCGAATTGCGTACACGAACTATTCTAAATAGTAAAATTTGGTAGATTTCCACTCTCCCCACACATACACACGAGATTATTTACAGTCATTGCATAACTTTAAGATTATGGTTTCTGTATCTGCAGATTCGTCATGCGAGAACATAAACTCACATCCTGAGGTTTTTATTAACAACAAAAAACGAAACGATGGCACATGGTGTTGGTTTATCGGTATCTTGTACATATTGTGATAAGGGGACACTATTTACTCTCTATGGGGGAAAACGGGGACAGTGGAGACACCAAGAGGGTTGACTCATTGTAAATAAAATCGAAATTTGGTATAGCGGCAGTTGTTGTCGGAAGTTACGTCACGACTTTCGTTGTTAATTCGGGGTCTTGACATGCGACGGTTCCGTTTTTCCTGTGTTTTGGCTGCTTATCGTGTGTTACGTTTGAACCGCTAGTTTGAAAACTGAAAGCAAGGTCAATGATTTTCGAGCAAAACGTTATCAGTCAAAACACAACGAGATTACATTTTCAGTTCGATTAATTTGACAGGCCGAATGGAGTTTTTACTGTTAATATACCATTATGTACACAATAGAACATAATTTTGTAGTAGGTAATAATAAAAAATGCACATGGCAATTGCTAATAACAGGTGTGTTTTATAACGACAACAATATTTAATATTTATTGGTTTCTAACATTTGGTTTCAATGTGATCATTACGACTAGTTCGGAGTCGCTCAAATTTCATACCTTCAATCATGAAAAATCAGGTTTATGTCAAGATTTTACCATGAACTTAAATTTTTAATTCTTCATTGTTATTAACAATAAACCGCAATAACACTGATAATGCGACTAAACCCATTGGGTTTTGCAGCTTCAAAATTAAAATATAAAATGTTAATTTTTTTTTTTACAAAAATTGGATGCCTCTGCTATAAACTTAATACGAATTCATATGACGTCATTACATTGTTGGCAGGGATGATTAGACAAAGTTTAGTTAGTGTTTTACTACCTACATTGATTTTTTTTTTGACAACAATTGGTTCAGTAGTTTCCCAGATTATAAGTCTAATAAAAATCGACACAGACAGACGGATAGATAGATACTTTAAACTAAATTGTGGCATTTAAAAATATTGTGTGAAATAAAAAATGTTTTCAGAATCCTTGAAGAAGTTTAAAAAATGGCACAAGATTTTTTTAAATGCGCGACAAACAAATGTCCGGTTCAAGGATTTAATTTCATCTCTTCATCAACGTCACACAAAAATAAATAAAATCCTAAAATATTTAAAGCGATTTTTTGATATGACATTTTTACAATACAGCAATTTTTAACATCCGATATATTTATTTCACAACAATGTAATATTCTTCACTAAATAATATATTGCGTGCGTCCCCAATTTCAACATTTGTGATAAATAAAAAAACAAGGAAGAGGGAAGCGCTTAAATCTTACGTTAAAAATCTTAAATTCCACCAGAATTAACACTGTATTTCGGTTAAGGATGCTAAAGACTTACATTAGGGCAAAAAATCACAATTGCAAAACTTGCATTTGCCAGACATTTCATATATTTATTTAAAACGGTTATAAGCAAGTTCGGAGGTCGTAGATAACATTTTGTACGCTACATGTGGGCTAACGAATCATTATCACGCTCGTAGACAATAGTGCCTTTATCTCACTCGTAGCGTAAGCAACTATTACTTACAAACCCTTTGGCTTATTTACGAAAATTCAATACCATAGATAAATGTATCCATAAAGAAATAGTATGACGTCATCAACTTTCTCGAAGGGATAAATTAATGAAACAATCCATTAGTAATTTGATTAAAGGAACTATCACGTCGCGATTTGAATCAATATTTTAAGGCGACGTCGTCAATTTTTTGGACGGGGTGAACTTGCAAAATTATCAATAGACTAACCACAAACAAAATGGGAAACTTGCATTTTCGTATTCTATCAGCTGCAAACAAAGAACGTGAAATTAGTTCGTTAAAATGTCTCATTATTGTGTTAGTTCATGTTGGAAAATACAACATTCCCTCACGGTGGTTATCTTCGATTGTTGCGACATTGTTGTAATAGTCACAGATTACATAAATTTTTTTACGGTTTATAATAGCCGTTAAAATAAGTCTCATTAGACAAAAATAACTTTGGCTAAATTCAGTGGCGAATGTTTAGTTGTGATTCCAATTTATTTCGGGGAAATCTATCGTTAAATCGAAATTAACCACAACACCCTTAATTTTTATTTCGAATTAAGTGACTTTAAATTCTCAACCCTTAAATGAGTTCGAGTCATTATTTATAATGTTTACAAATCCTGTATTACTGCACATTTCAACATCCTCAACATGTAAAATCTTGTCAAATCGAAACAAACACGCGATTAGTAATAACATTATGAATCACCACAATTATCTTCCGTCCAACTCTAGTGTCATTAATCAAAAAAAAAACCACACTCCTATTTTGCAAACACACACTTAACCACCCCCACTACACGACCTTGAAGGGTGAATAATAAAACAGGTACATTATTAACGTTCCAATTAAGAAAATGTATCAATTAAAATAGCTAATTATAGCTGATATAACAACAATTTTTCCTTCCCCCACCAGCGTGATAATCGCCATGAACCCAATATACATCAAAAAAACTACCACAGGATGCTGCTCCCAAAATAATTCAACGGGATCAGTGATCGCAAACTTAATAATGAAACAAACATAGACGCATTGAAATCCTCAAAACAAACACGAAGACCGCCAAGTGATAACTTATCAATTAGGGTTTATCTGGATGCGAAATAAACAAGATCTCATTTCCGTTAAATAACCGCTGTTATCGGGAAACAAAACAAAATGGACCGCAAAAGCTTAAATAGACTTTCCGGTTGCGCGGAGCGCAATTAATTTAACAATTAAGTAATTAAGGCGAGAAAGTGGAGTAAACAAAGAGCGGACCAACCCGACTGCACCCTAATAAAAATACATAAAAATAATAACGAAAAGTGCAACGAAAGTAAACGAAAGTGTATTCATAAATTCATGAAATCTAATAGGGTTAATGGGGGTCAGTGGTGCGCGAAGTAGCCGACAAATTTTCCAAAAAAAAAAGTAAATTTTTGGGTTTTACTCACAGACTGAATATGACTCCTATTGTTTTTGTGACGATCCCCATTTTATTTATGTCACGTGAATATTAAAAGCGAAAGCCATTGAACTCACGACACCCTTCGTATTTTTTTCCACTGAGTGTACAACGCATACTCTGCTACATCGTTCAACACCGACTGCAACTCTAATAACTCTGAAGGTGGACACAAACGTACGAAGAGGTGGGGACTACTACTACGATGCTCGGGAGACTAACTCCCTGTCGAAACTAAACTAGATTAGTAGAAAAATTACTAATTGCGATTAGTAGGAGCTTTCGCGGCCTTGAGGGAGGGGCTGCCCATTATTCACGCAGGATGGGTTAGGGAAGTTACAAATAGATCATGGTCGAGATAACACATTTCAATATTTTTTTAATAAATTGATCAAACTCGGTGCTAGTTTTGTCAAGTATTCGCGCATTTTTCATCCTTCCTTCGTTTAATTTATTGCTCTTTGCTCAAGATTAGCGCGCTGACTCGTCCTCAGAACACACTAGTTCCGTTCGTACAAATATAAATAATTCATTTTGAATTATGGGAGCGAAAACTTGAATTTTGCGTATTACGGTTTTTACATACAATGTTTTGTTTTTTAGTGGTGACTTTATTGTTTGTTTTAGTAA